ATAGTGGACAACGCGCCAATTGTTGACGAGAGCAAAAAAGAAAAATTGCTGAAATTTATCAGAAAGATTTTCAATAATGTTGGTAATGTCAAAGAGGGAGGAATTTATATGCCAATGGATCCTGAACCTAAGACTGGAAATCCAACTTCAAAAGGGTAAATATTGAATAAACTTTTCGCGAGCTTTGTAAATTATAAACTTGTTCTACATTATAAATCGGGTTATTATTTAACTTTCAGGTATCTCTTCATTGAATTCGAAACTCCTGAACAAGCAGCGATGGCCATAAAACAATATGATGGTTATCCAATGGATAAAACTCATCTTCTTGCAGTGAACCGATTCACAGATATTGAGAAATATTCCCAGATTGAAGAAGAATATAAAGAACCGGAAGAAGAAATAGAGGCCGTGGAAGTTTCAGAGGTCGTGGTGGTAATATAGGATTTCGTGGCGGACGTGGTGGATTTGGAAGTCGTGGCCGTGGCCGTGATCGTGGTCGCGGTGGTTTTAAGGGTAGGGTGTAAATTTTTTTTTAAAATAACATTCAATTGAAATCAGGGGATGATCATATGTTATTTATATTGTGTAACATAGGTAAATTTCGTTCAACCTAGGAAATATACGAAGGTAAATTTTTTTATACTAGTATTGGAACCCGTCGTTAAACGACGGGGTGTATAGTAAAAATAAATCTTGTATATAAATAAATTAAATGAATATGAAAGAACCATTATCATATCTATAGAAACCTATCAGGCTATTTGCATTAAGCTGATTTTAAAGTTAGAATCCTTGTTTTTACCTTCGTCAAGTGCAAAATAACATGAATATTCAATGTCGCTTGTACTATCGTTATTATTAGGTATTTAAGATGTACAATATAAAAAAAAAAAAATTGCACAAAGGCTCCGTAACTAATGACGTAAATAAATCTGCATCTATAATATAAAATCATCATATCACTATTTTTTTTTTAGCCCGTAAATTGCTTCTAAAAGGCATTTACTAATTTCCCTCCAAAGTTTCTATTGGCTGGGATTATTCGCATCAGTTTGGGTTTGGGGTTAGCATTAGTGGGCAACATTATACCAAAATTTTGCAAGGAATTTTTTTTGTTAGTGCCCAAAAGGTGATTTCTTCGAAAAAAGCGATAAGTTGTTTTGATCTTCACGTTACACCTGATCTAGAACTTTGGGGGAATTAGTAAACGTCTTTTCATTCAATACGACCTGCGGTTGATGATGCGAAATCTTGCTATACTTTTAACATTATACTAGGAAACGGAAACCATTAGGGTACGGAGTCTAAGTATTTAAAAAATCTAAGTGTTAGACGTTACGATTAATTGCACTAAAGCTAAACTAAGCGTAAAAATTCGATGACGTTCTGCGTTTATAAAATACTACGTATGTCGGGTTGACGATGGTTTACATATAACAATAAATTTAGGGGAATTTACAGATAAGGGCCCAAAAACGAAAATAATTATAAATAAAGGCCGATATTTGAGGGTTTACTAATTTTCCCCCCTAGTTTCTATTGGACGAAGAAAAATCCTGCTGTTCGATCAGATAATAGAAGTATCATTGAAATGGCACAAAGGTCGAGTAGAACAATCCCTATAATAAAATTTTGCAAGGAATTTTTTTTGTTAGAACATAAAGGATGGTTTTGTAACCAAAATTTTAAGTTACTGGCGATTTTTGAAGACTTCACGAAGACCGATTTTTTTTGAAAATTATATGTTACACCTGATCTTATAATTTGATTGGTAGACTAAGTGTGGCGTAGTTTATTTTGTCCAATCAGAGACGGCATTTACAAATGCCCAATCAGAACTAGGGGGAGAAATTAGGGATCCCGATATTTGAAAAATAATTAGAACCTATGATTTAGATGATTTGAATATGATTGCAATATAGTCATTAATTTTTAACGCATAAGAAATGTAATCATATCTACCGATTTGATTTTTAGGGGTCTTTTTTTGATAAACCATTATACAAACTTCTGCTATTAAATGACGTAAATAACAAACGAAACCTTCAAATAAAATAGATTTTGGCCTCTATATAAGATAAATAAACAATAAATATTCAAAGAACAGTTACGCCAAGCTGTAAAAGGAAGCACTATCACTAGTTGTTGAAGTGTTTGGGTATTTTCGGGTAGTGAAGGATCGGTTTGTTATTGAACAATCGGTTGTATAATGGGTAAGGGTAAATTCAGAAGCAATTTTCAGAAAAATTACTTTTTCAGCTAATAAACATGTAAATATGCTAATAATTAAACATGTAAATATTAAAATATTCTATACATTTAATTATGAATTAAAAGTAAGTTTAAAAGACCATTGTTGTAAAAACTTACTTTGTAATAAGTTTTAATAGCAAATAATTCTTAATCATGATTGGCTAATTTTGGGGTGAAACCAAATTGGTGAATATGTAATAATCCCTATAACAAACACCATGTCAAATAAAAAATTGCCAATTAGTATGATTTTTACTAAGAAACATGTAAAAATCAGGTGATTTTTTAGAGAGGAAAAAAATTTAAAATTATATATAAAAATTTGATCAAAATATATATTATAGTCAGGGATTTTACCAAAAATGGTCATTGAAGATCGCACCTTTTATAGTATAAGGATGTCGATCAGAAGATTCTCGATTTTATAGCATATGACATTAACCAATCAAATCAATCAAAAACTCAATATATAAACGAATTATTACAGTATTAGCAAAGCCTTTAATAAAGCTTTAATTTTTATTAAATAATTTAAATAGTAATTACACTCCGCTTAATCGTTGTTACCTTCGCCAATATTACAATATTTATTTACACCATTATACTATTAAACAATACATTACCCATATACTGATATATGTATGTTAAAAAAAACAATACCCATACACTGATTCGCAATCTAAATCTACTTTGAACAC